TCCCAAAATCATTCGATTGGCGAAGGCGTATTAATCATCGTTGGGTGAAGTGATGATCACGCTTGAATAGCCAGGTATAAGTCGGATTACGGATCTGCGCAAAAGCCACACTATAATTACTAGTACTACTACTTCGACTACTGCATAATAAAACCCCGAAAAATAAGTAGAACCAAATGAACAACTCGAGACGTTCACAAAGAAAGCAATTGGCTTCGAGGGTTTTAACATGTTTTCGTAAATGGTTCTTACTGAAGCCTTGGAAACCTAGACCGTCACCGCAACCTTGTGCCATTTCAATTGAATTATTGATGACTTACAGCAGAAAGATAGTCAGAATGCAAAATCTCAATAATGTGCGACACTTCTTCCTTGAAATCCGCATGGAGACAGAGGAACTAAAGAATTCGATGATTCCCTGTGGTATAGCCACATTTTCCTTCATTTTCATGCTTCATTAGAGGAATAACAGTTGGGAACAATTTAAGGCGGAAAGAAGTAAAGATAAATCTCTCAAATTCGAACGACGGCTCTTGAAGAGGCGCCATTTGTTCCAAATTGAATTCATTAAGATGAAGATCGCAAATTTGGGCTGCGCGCAGAAATCACGAGAAATTTCACAAGACGACGTACGTGTACTTGATTCATTCCGAAATAATGAGATTTTTGAAATTTCATGCATAAAAAGGGCATATAAACAGAAGTCCACAAAAAGCATGATATACATTACTAAGTATCACGTCTTTTTAAGTGGACAGGAATCCGAAAATCCCCGCGGAAATTTAAAGTTGGGAATGAGAAAATCCCCGAGAAATCGCGGGAAACGAAAGAAAAATCACGTCCATATATGGGTTATGCACAGAATGACACTTGGACTTTTCTTCTCCATCATTTCTNACGAATGCAAGCATTATTTATTTCAATGGCTGATTTTATCTTTCAATAAATACGGGACAGTGTACCTCCATACTTGGTCCCGGGCCGGAAACTTATGAAGTAGTCGTAAACGATTATGAAAACGTTGACCACGATAACAAGCAAGGAGATCCGTCGGAAGAATAGGGATGAGACGAGATCGTAGATGAGGGTGCGGATTTCCGACGGGTTCGATCCCAGGATCGACCGCCGGTGCACCTTGTACATGGCAGACGAGGAAATGGTGGAACTGCCATCAGCACCGTGTTGCTGTTGATCTTCCTAAATTTTTGGCAATAAAAAAATGCAGTACTATATGCGTAATGGATAAAAGACGTAAACCCTGACATTTTCATAGCCGATATCGGTGAAAATGAAATGGGAGGCAACGACGTCTTTAAAAGAAGCCTATAATTAAATTCAGCGATTATGTAGGTCAAATAAAGTCTGAAAACCAAGAAGAGCTGAAAGTGCTGATCACGCACTTCTTTCGCGAATTGAAAACGGCCAAGAATGCGAGAGTAGTCATTTTTTCTAATTCAGTCGGAAAATATGCTATTTTTCAGAGAATATGAGATGAACTTTTCTTCTATCCCAAAAAAGCCATCAACAAAATTATGTTTATTATGAGTCGCACAGATTTCAGCGTATTTTGGGGAGTAACTACGTCACATTTGAGGCATATGACTATGTCATTGAAATCTATGCAGTGCACTTGAATTCTAGTATTGTACTATTCTTAAAAGTACTGATCCTAAGCGTACTGAATTTCCTAAAATCATAATAAACCTTACGTAATCTTGCCTAAATTCAGCGTTTTTATTCAAATTCATATTCATTGCAGAAGAAGAAAATGTGCCATGTGCGCTTCCGATTCTTGAAAAGAAAAACGCGAGAATTCTGAAAGTCTGGAAGGGCTTTACACTGGATTCTTATCTTCAGTTAAATTCATCAAATCTACTAGCCACTTTTGAGCACGACGAACTTACGTTTGATTGAACCAATAAAATTAAACGGTGCTTATCGAATAAACGATCTTAGTTTGATTGAAAAAAAAAACGAAGACTTCATCGTCTCGAACAAAAGGCTTGATTCCGAACATAAAAAGAAGCTGTATAAAACGTAGAGATTCTTGTGAAGAACGAATCTAGGGGTTCTCAAGGATTTTGAATCGTTGGTCAGGGTCAGAACAACACACACGAAGCTTCTAGGATTTTATAAACCCCTTTTTTTCTTGCTGAAAAGAATTAAATTTTTCTTCATGTACAACCAGCACCGTATGTCAAGTTATATGATCGGTTCCACGATCCCCATCAGTATACGTCTGTGAACAAGCGGACTAACCTCCATTTTTTCGAAGTAATTTTTCCCAAAATCATTCGATTGGCGAAGGCGTATTAATCATCGTTGGGTGAAGTGATGATCACGCTTGAATAGCCAGGTATAAGTCGGATTACGGATCTGCTCAAAAGCCACACTATAATTACTAGTACTACTACTTCGACTACTGCATAAAACCCCGAAAAATGAGTAGAACCAAATGAACAACTCGAGACGTTCACAAAGAAAGCAATTGGCTTCGAGGGCTTTAACATGTTTTCGTAAATCGTTCTTACTAAAGCCTTGGAAACCTAGACCGTCACCGCAACCTTGTGCCATTTCAATTGAATTATTGATGACTTACAGCAGAAAGATAGTCAGAATGCGAAATCTCAATAATGTGCAACACTTCTTCCTTGAAATCCGACTGGAGACAGAGGGACTAAAGAATTCGATGATTCCCTCTGGTATAGCCACATTTTCCTTCATTTTCATGCTTCATTAGAGGAATAACAGTTGGGAACAATTTAAGGCGGAAAGAAGTAAAGATAAATCTCTCAAATTCGAACGACGGCTCTTGAAGAGGCGCCATTTGTTCCAAATTGAATTCATTAAGATGAAGATCGCAAATTTGGGCTGCGCGCAGAAATCACGAGAAATTTCACAAGACGACGTACGTGTACTTGATTCATTCCGAAATAATGAGATTTTTGAAATTTCATGCATAAAAAGGGCATATAAACAGAAGTCCACAAAAAGCATGATATACATTACTAAGTATCACGTCTTTTTAAGTGGACAGGAATCCGAAAATCCCCGCGGAAATTTGAAGTTGGGAATGAGAAAATCCCCGAGAAATCGCGGGAAACGAAAGAAAAATCACGTCCATATATGAGTTATGCACAGAATGACACTTGGACTTTTCTTCTCCATCATTTCTACGTAATTCCTTACATTGGTTCCAGATTTTTTCTTCAGACATGATCGAAGGAATTTTAGCTCGCAATGATTCCATGCCCACATTTTCCGAATCGCTCGTTGATGAACAACGATCTTCGTCACTCGACACTTCCGCATCCGACGTCGAAGCTGACGACGAATGACCACATTTCACAAACTTCTTCACTGCTTTTCTAAAGTTCCGAATTTTTTGCAATGAGGTGTCTTCCACTTCGGTCCTGATTGTCTTCATTTTCTTTTCGCGTTAACTTTGCAATTGCTTTTTTCTCTTTCCGATCGCTTCAATTTCTCAACTTGACGTTTAATCTTTGCACTTTTCTTTTTTGATTTTCTCGCATTTTCCTTCGAATCGATCGTCTTGAATTTCGCTGTTTCTGTGGTCAACTTTTGTACTGATTGTGCCGATTTCGAAACGAAAGTAAGGACACTCGCGAAACACTCGAAAAGCTGCAAAGGATCTTCAGGGGATTTGATTTTTTAATGGATTTATGGGAGCTTGAAAGACTCTCAAGATTCCTTCTTGATACGATAGATTTTCTAGTACAGTACCACGGGCGATTTTTCGCGGATTCATCCGTGTCTTGAGGTATAAAAAATACCATACTTTTCTCGCACTGTATTTCTCTCGAGCTCTTCCCACTCATACTCTGGATTGTCAGCTGCTGGAAACAATCTTAATTTTTAAAATGTTCGACAAATTCACGTAAATAAGATCTTCCGCATCCGACGTCGAAGCTGACGACGAATGACCACATTTCACAAACTTCTTCACTGCTTTTCTAAAGTTCCGAATTTTTTGCAATGAGGTGTCTTCCACTTCGGTCCTGATTGTCTTCATTTTATTTTCGCGTTAACTTTGCAATTGCTTTTTTCTCTTTCCGATCGCTTCTATTTCTCAACTTGACGTTTAATCTTTGCACTTTTCTTTTTTGATTTTCTCGCATTTTCCTTCGATTCGATCGTCTTGAATTTCGCTGTTTCTGTGGTCGACTTTTGTACTGATTGTGCCGGTTTCGAAACGGAAGTACTGTAAGGACACTCGCGAAACACTCGAAAAGCTGCAAAGGATCTTCAGGGGATTTGATTTTTTAATGGATTTCTGGGAGCTTGAAAGACTCTCCAGATTCCTTCTTGATACGATAGATTTTCTAGTACAGTACCACGGGCGATTTTTCGCGGATTCATCGGTGTCTTGAGGTACAGTATAAAAAATACCATACTTTTCTCGCACTGTATTTCTCTCGAGCTCTTCCCACTCATACTCTGGATTGTCAGCTGCTGGAAACAATCTTAATTTTTAAAATGTTCGACAAATTCACGTAAATAAGAAGGGAAAATCCTTTGAAGTTGAGAAAAGACTTGCGAGGATTTTTCACAAATAACATTAGATTTCCCGCGGACAGGAGTGATACCGCATAGCATCGACTCATCATTAATTAGAGCGCAACAGAAAAATATGCAGGGACATAAATAATTGAAAGCTCCTGAAATAAAACATTCTGTTATGTAGCATTTCACTTTTAAAACTATTTCAGTATCAGTACACACGAATAATCCTTGCATTAAAAATAATGTGCCGCAGAAGGATCAGGCAATCTCCACTCATTCTGGAATCGATGTTATTCGTAAACATCGAGTGACATCTAGTAATAATATTTAAACCGCCGAAGTTTCCTCGATAGCTCATAAACGCAGGTTTCTCTCCAATGAAATTTGAAACGCACACCTATAGCGTCGTATAAAATCCCAAGAGCGCTCTATACTACGTATTTTTCAAGGTTTGGGAAAAAAGTGAAACGAAATAATTTCAGGCGAACGGATGTCCCGTATATTTCGATTTCTTGCTCTCTTTTCCGTCAGGCCGACAGCAGGAAGAACAAAGCTCATCGAATGTCAACTAATTTCTAAAACACGTTTCGCTGATTTGCACCACTTCCACGCTGCATCAGCGAAATTGTCGCATTCCAAACTTCACGCCGTTCGAACCATAAACAAAATCCACGTAGTCTAAGCATACTTTTCGATGGCAATCATTGTTTTTGTTTTTGTCTTGCAAGGAGAAATGGTATGCATGACTATTTTTGGCATATTTTTGCGCTAGCGTGAAGCGAATATTATTGACCGGTCAAAAATTGCCGGCCGATGATCAGAGACTTGAGAATGCTGGTCAGCGAGAGAAGACAAAAAAATGTTCGCGTCCACCTGGCCCAAAATCGGATGCAGTTTCTTTTTTCTCTTTTCTGTGGTTTGTTTAAAGGGAGGTTAAATAATTCCTGTATCTTTTGATAATCTTATCTACGAGCAAAAGCATACGTTTCGGCGTTGTTCAAGCATCGATCAGGACGATTTTTTTTTTTTTCTCTCATTCTTGTGTGTGTGGTATTTTCTCCCGGATTTCTTCACCATCTCGGAATGCGGACTGGGCCGCCAAAGGACGAGAACACGACCCGATTACGCGTTGGGATGACCAAGTAGCGTTTGGTCTCTGCTGCTCGTGCCCTGTTGAGATTTGCCACCCCGGAAGTGTCTTCTGGGGAGGGGGTCCTGATTGGGATGTCCGTGCGAGGGATCAGACCCGGGTCTTCGTCCAGATCTCGGGCCCGGTCGGGTTCTGTCTGGGGGTTGCTGCTGATGCTGCTGCTGGCGGCTTCGTTGTTGTCGGCCCCGGATGCGATGTATTTCTTGCCCATTGACTTGACCCACGTTTGCACACTTGGGGGAAGGAAAGGAGAGCATAATTGAAGAAATTTTTAGTGGAAAAAAATTAAAGTCAATTTTTGCAAGATTTCTCTCAGAATTAATTACAGTCGAGCCTTTTTTATTCGACCTTCGAAGGATCTATGAAAAAAATTACTCACAGAGTTTTTTATTTTTAGAAACTAGCATTTTTGACGGGAAAAATGAATGATTCAATAAAGTTGTAGTCGGCTATCTTACAAATGACCTTTAAATGCTTCGCAAACAACGTGAAAGAAAAAAAAATTCTGAAATTGGAGGCACCAAGTGCTTATTCTCCCGAGTAGCCCCTCACTTCCTTTCGAAAAATATCAAGTTACATTTTTCTTTGCTTTTCATCTTCCCTCGGACCCAGGATAATTATCCCAAGGCCTCAAAATTTGAGATATAGAGATTTCAGGGGAATAGTCTTTGAGTTAGGGAGGTCTGTAAATTATTGCTTTCAAAAAAGACTTTAACAGAGACTAAAAAATAAATAAAGGGAGATTTTTGACTTGAGGAGGCCTGACTTGTTTATTTTTAACTGTAACAGACTGAATCGACGGATGGATCTAAAACTGCCTCTGGATGCGCATTTTACTTCTACTAAAGAAACGTCTTTACTTCCGCCAGTAAACTGTAATTTTATTTGAAAATTTTACAGATAATTGGTCATCTTTTATCAATGGCGGTACTAAATCAAGGTTTAAGTGCACCGCCGGAAGTTGAAAAGCTATGATTCAACAGATAATTTTTCTTCGATTTCCCTTAAGCATCTACAGTATAACAGTGTTCCCCAACCTGTGGTCTGTGGACCAACGCTGGTCTGCAAATATTTTTTGTAGGTCTGCGCAAAATTTTCTGCACCATCATAAATTGAGAAAAGCACCAATGAAGTCTGTTATCTTCATCTGAAACCTCGGAATAACAAATGGTAATGTAAATTATCTAATGGAAACATAAGTTGGCTTTTCTCTTAATCACACTTCAGAAAAATTTTCACAAGCTGAAATCAATGATTTTAATTTTTTTCAGACTGAGAAACCTTTCTTTAAGCCCACGATTCTAATATTTTTAAAACATTCCACTATGGGCCTGCTTCATTGGATCTTGATTTTTTTTTTGCAAAAAAGCAGGCACTTTTTAAATGCCTGCCATAAATCTTTCAAGCTAGCTTGCAAAAATGTGAAAAAAACTTTGCTGGTCCGGAGAAAATTTTTGGGAAATTTGCCGGTCCTCGAAAAATGTCGTGACAATTTACCAGTCATCCGCAGGCCCAAAAAGGTTGGGGAACACTGATCTGTAATAATAATAAAAAAAGGGGGGGGGGGGGGCTAAGGGGAACTTAGCCCCATTCTTCCGAACTTCTTCAGCACTCGTGATGAAAAATCCGACTCACAGACTCAGCACGCGCTTGAGGACCTTGTTGACCTTCTCAGCCTTCTGCTTCTCGTCCTCTTCACCCAGCACGTCCTCTTCTGATACCAGGGCGTCTTCCGCAGGCGGGCCACTGGCCGACATGGCTCTCAGGGCGTCTTCCAAGGTCCGTCCACGCAACCGCCGCCGCTCGGGGTCCTCTTCGGAGGACGCCGTCCGCCCCCGGTATTGACTCAGTAGTTGCTGGTGCAGCTGGTTCGGCTGTCCGCCGAACGCCGCCAGCAACGGCGTGAAACCCACTCTGGCGATGGATCCGATGTGACGTTTCCTCCGGCTCATTGCTATAATGATGAATAAGAAACCTCGTTTATTTATTTTTATTATTCATTTTCTAATTAATGGAAAGCAATGATTTAAAGCTGATGTATCGATCCTATAGGATAATAAAAAAAAGCCAGACTTGCGTAGTCAATCATTTTATTATGGGATTCTCAAAATTCAATGAAAAGGGGTTTTTTCTGAAATCTCGGACGATCAGGAAAAAGTGCTAGTTCTAAATGATTTATTCTCAAAGATTCTTCCTCAATTATTCAATCAATTTATAATTAGCTGGGAACAGGCTGAACACCTTGTGCTTTAAATTTTGCTCAGTATAATTTACTTGCGCTGATATTTTTGTTAAAAAAGGTGCCAATCCATTATTCATGCATTTGTATGTCCTGCTGTGATGTATTTTATCTTGAATGGATGTGTATGTGTTGGGAACGGAAGAAATGTTTTGAACCTCGTGAACCCTTAAAAGCGGCAAATAAAGCTTATTTATTAATCAATTAATCAATCAATAATTGCTATTTCAGTGAAAACATCAAATGGAAGAATGGGACTATTGATAGTATTGAAAAATGCGTTCGTTTGGAAATAACATGGAATTTCCCCCTATATGTATAGAAGTATGTATCTCGAGATACAACATATAAATACAAACCATACTTTTGAAATACAGTAAGACTAGGTTTATCAACTGGAAGCCGTAAGAGGGCGAGGAAAATATTTTTCTACATTTTAAAGCAAGATTAAGCAAATTAAATTGTTTCCAACTCTCGATCGTCTCACTTTCTCAAAATTCTTTGCCACCAACCAGTCTGACTCAAAGATTCCACCGCAATTTTCCTCATTTTTAAAGAGTCTATACGTGAAAAAGTAGAAGTCAGATTATAACCCCTGTTATATTAGAAATCACACTCAGTTTATAGTCAAAGATTTCATGCCGGTGTCCCCACTTTTTAACGTAGGGGGTTTATTTTACTTTTAGACCATAGATTAAATTTGGCAAACCAGATATTATTCGTGTATGAAAGAGAAAGAAAATTAAACAATTAAAGTAGTGTAAGCTACAGGTTCGCATCACAGAGTTAATTAAGCTAAATATATTTGACAGCACTTCATCTCAAGTTTAAAAATGCATTGCTTTACAAGTAATAGTGAATGTGAAACTGAACGCCAAAGGAATAAAATGTGAAGGCTCAATATTCGTGCAAAAAGCAGCATTTTAGAATTGGATGACAATTTTGGCTGAAGATGAGAAAAAATGGACGTTTGCTTTTTCTTCTCAAAAAAGCTGGGGAAGAAAATTGGGGTGAGGAACATTTTTATTGAAATCTCTGATGGAGATTAATAGTTTTTTTTGTTTTCCTCAGTTAGCGTGTCATTTAAATGCTGCCCATATACCGAGATCATCATCCAAATCATCCTCCTCAACGTCATCGTCGTCAGCAATGTCCTGAGGCAAAATCCCGTCGTAATCCCCGACATCCGAGTCGTCGTCAGACCGTTTCCCAATGGCCTTGACGTATCCCGAAGCAATTGCTGACCCAATGTGCCGTTTGTCAGTCGGGTATTCGTTATCCTCTTCCCCGGACTGGGTCATCGGCTCAAAGTCCTCGGTGTCGCTGTCTTCTTCGGCCAGGTGACGATACGGGAACGTGACTGCGGACAAGAACCGCTTCTTCTTGTCGTGATGGGCCTGGTGAGGAAAGTAGATCCACGGTAGCCCGTGGAACCCAATGTCTTTCATCACGGAACCCAGGTGTCGTTTCTCGGAGCTGAACGGATCACTGCGCTTTTTGGCGGATTTGAAAACGTTTTTCGGCTCCCATGCTTGATACGGGCGTCCGAGGAACCTGAAAACGTCGAGATATTTTTAGTCTAATTCAACAATGATTGACATTTTGTTTGATCAACTATGAGATTCACTTACAGTGTTTCATGCATTGAGCCGAGTCGATCGACGACTTGAAAATTAGCATGATGTACAATCGTGTCTCAATTTGTGCATGAATTACATCTGAAGAACTAAACTGTCAAAATATATCGCACAGACTGATTTTTTGTGTGGGCAAATATGCAAAAAATGTATTTTTGAGCATTCAATGGTAGCATCAAGAATAATCGGCATTCAAGAATCATCAGTCGGGATTTTTCCCGACTTTGCCCTGCAAACACTGTTGGTTTTTTTTTTAATTCCACTCTTGAGTGCAACCAAAATCTGTAAAAAAAAAGTCTGACTCTGCTGCAGAAGGCTTAAACCAGACAAAACTAAGGATATGTAATTAAGGTACCCCCTTAATTACATATTCCCAGCCACAAACTGGCTGATTGCCCTGCCTTATTATTACTTACCATTTCTTCCACTGCTGAGCTATGGTTCAATTCTTTATGTTGGGTTGATTAATTTCTCAACAACTGTACTGTATTTCATTTTGTCAACTGAATATCAATACTGAAACATATCAAAATTTAGATTCCCAAACCTGGCGGCCCATTCGTCGGGCACGGAAGGCAGACCCACGCGGTTCGGGTCCTCGGAGCGCCAGTTGCGACTGCGACGGCGAGATGACGCACTTCGCCACACCGGCGAGTAGAAGTCTTCTTCACTTCCGCCGTGGTCCTCGTCGACATCGCCGACACTGTCGCTGGTTCTTGCCAGGGCCGTGGGGAACGAGTAGCCGTTTGCCGATCGACGGAAGCTTTCTGTCTTGCCGCGTTCGACCGGAAGCCGGAAACTGGCCCGTTTCCGCAAAGCGTGTTGCTGCTGGCCGAGTTGTCTCAGCATCCAACCTGCGGGGCCCCGGTACACTTCCCTAACAGCTAGGACCCACAGCATAAAGCAGCCCAGGACCCAAGGCCCGCAGCCAACAAACAGTGGCAGCGGTCTCTTACTGCAGCTTCTGCTCAGCAAAACAACGCTGGAATGCGTTTGGGCGTCGTCCAGGGTGGCTGCCTCGCAACACTAGAATTCCAAACACGAAACAAAGGTTGCAAAATTATCAGTGAAATGGATAACTTCGCAAGTTTCATTTACTGTACTGCACTTCACTTGCACATGACGATTTATATTATATAAAGCCTCGCAATTTTTCAGTCTCAGCAGAGCGGTACAAATTGTAAAAAAAAAATCGACCAAAAATGATGCGGACAAACTTCCAAGAGCTTTTACATATAAAATTTCTTGAAATCTGAGCAGTTTGTTGATTATACTAATTCTTCAGCTATCATCTCATTTCTGTTTCACAGAAATTATCATAATACTGTAATTTTAGTTCCGTAATAAAACGTGAAAAAATGTCAAGGCTGTTGAAATTAAATTCTAGTGTTCATCATAAACCAGCGCATAATTAACGACATCGAATGTTCAGGATAATGAAATGCGAGCCATTGTCATCGAATTTAACGCACACCTTGTACTTTATTTGATTATTCAAATGGATAAATCAATTCTTGATAATGACATTTAATCGAATGAAAAAAATGGAGGTCACCCCTGAATATTTATCTAGACAGTGGACATAAATTTATTGCTAGCATGTGTTCGAATCAGTAAAAGGCGCAAATAAATAGGACAATTATGTCTTTTGTAAACCATTTCAACCTTTGGGATTAAGCTTTGGGCAGCTTCATAAAAATTATGCCAACACCTTTTGATAATTTGGATGCAGCTTAACATTATGAAAAATGTAATTACATGCTTTTGAGTTTAATTGCAGCATAAAAGCTCACACCTATCAGGAGATGTCATGGCTGTTCTACTGTCAGTCCACTTTTTTTTTTAGATCTTCTCTCCAAGAGAATGGGGAGAGAAACATCATGAAGGAGTGGAGAACATTAAATTAAATGTTTAAAAATGCTTACGGTTTTAGAGGCAGGAGGTATTTTTAAAGTTTATAATAAGGCGCCTCGACTGCAGCGACCGTGTTACAACCGCCTTGTGGAAAGGGAGTCAAAGAAAAACGTTAAAGCCCTGTTCTACTAGAGAGTTTTTTTCATTGTGGGTGTGTCCCAAACACGAAGGATCAACGCAACTTGAGCAATAACCTCAGTGATGACCGTGGGTCTGCGATATTAGCTGAAAAAGTTGGGGAGGTTGACGGAAGATTGCGGGACTGGGATGGAATTGACTCCTACGCAATAAGAACACAAGTAGGAATGGGTTTCACTCCCCCCCTGAGCCTGAACGGCCAAGAACAATATCTCCAGTTTGCTTCCCCTGGCCGCTAGAACCCAATCAACCAGGGTTACCCACCCACCCGAATCTCCCCAGGCTACTGCTTGATTTCCCCCCTACAAAAGATTCTAACACTTAGGTAGTGCGTAACTGGTAAGTAATAACCTTTATGTGTCATCCCTAAGGGTTGAAAAAAGTGAAATGGTCACAAAAACCGACAGGACGATAACGTCATCTTAAAACAAAGTTTCTATTCCTGGATATGAAAAATATTATTCAAGGTTTCTGCAGAGTAACCGCAATTTTATTCAAGTCTCAAGGTTTTTTTTTTTCAATGGTGCCGATGGTTCCTTCATAACAAAATTATATTTTGGAGACATGCTTTTCAAATCTGCTCATTCAGGAAGTTCCGTATACCGTATTTTCTTGCAGATGAACAAAAAATGTTCACAACTCAGCACAAGTTGATGAGCCATGTGCTGAAAAGTATTATAGACATTAATGTAAAGAAGATAAATCTATTCTATAAAGCTTTATTAAAGGGCAAATATTTCTTTCCTGTCCTTTAATACGAAAAGAAGCTCTGTTTAAATAGTAAGTCTATTACGAGACTATTTACATTTTGTTTTGGTACTTTTAGGATGTTTTGTTTTTCAAATTCTTTCCTGACTCAACCCTAAATTTTTTCTCATGACTTCTGCTTGACATCGTCGAAGCCCTCTTTCTGGAAAAAATTTACTTTTAAAAATATTTACTTCCCCGAGAATGACCCAATGACTTAAGTCCATTTCATGATATAGATTTTGATACTGTGTATTATACCCCGATTTTTTCTAAATTCTGCATACCCATTTAACACGCATACCCTGATTTGCTGTCTATTTTTCCGAAAAAAAAATGTGTGCGGGGCACTTGGGTAAAAGCTGTAAAACTTATTGAATAAGACCTGCAAGGACTGATGTCATGAAAAATTATTTTTGCGTTCAATTATCCACCTGAGTCCTGTGACGTGCAATTTTCGGATTTTGAGTTGACGAACTTTAAATCAATTGCTTTCTCCTACCTATTTTCGCATAAAAATAAATTAATGAATAAATAAAACAGTACATGACGTCCAAACAGATGTCACACAACAATCAACAGCTTGAACTTGAAAGCGCTTTTAGCTTTACCCTTGAAACCTAAGTGAACGAGCTCGAATGCACTTACAGGGGATCAAGTTAATATTTCAGTAAATGCGAGTGACTCCCCCAGGCATTGAAGTGAAGTCCCATTAGATCTCGGGCTTGAAGAGCACGATCCCTTTTGTCAACATATTGCCCTCTGAGATCTCTCATGTACGTAGTGCGTGCGGACATTTCTGCGTTTATTTGGCAGTGTGCGCGTCCATAATAGAAATTAAGTCACGACATGTTTAAAACAGCAACCGTTGAGACGTGTGTGCGCTGGCTGAGCGTTTATATAGGAGTCTGAAGGTAGCCTGGGCACCTTCGTCTTCACTGATGGATGCCACATGTGTCGACTTCTCGACGCGACATCCGAAAGTATTTGCTCTCATAACAGCCGAAGCAATTGAGCCTCCTCTTGATGTCCTGTCTAACGAGTTCCTATACGCATCTGGTTACCAAGCAAATGTCCTGGGTCAACTGAGCGCCACACAAACTGGGCGCTATGGCCTCGTGAGCACGGACCAAATGAACGTCCGAAAAGAAATGGACATCCGGCAATCGAAAACTGGAAGTCCTCATGACGCATTTAAAAAAAATCCTTTTCCCACCGTATTATATTTTCTTTTAAATTTCCTTCTACGAAGTGACTGTTTAGATTATAATTGAACAGTACATAGGCCACGCCTCCATAATAACCTAATTTTGATCAATTATGCCGGGAAATCAAATGCATATGCCGCAAGAATTACATTAATTGAAGAAAAACACGTTGCCCCAAAAATAATGCTGTTTTTATTCAAGTATCAAGCAAACATCCCCCCTTAACCGCCATATTTGGGACCATAAACTGGAGTGAACCGGCTAAGAATAAAGTGCAAATATTTTGGCAAATTTTCCAAATTTCTTGTCAACATCTTCACATCACGTAACAAGTTTCAAAGAAAAGCAAATTGGATCACTTTGGATTCCCCTTTTATAGTATGAATTTATAGCTTTAGCTTGTGTAAATCTTCAATTATTAACATTTTCACTGTAAACCGGATTGGGTGTCTTCTGTGGGGGATATGTTTGGAATACCACTCACTGTATGTTCCTGTAACATAATATTGCACGGTTTTAAAAAGTTTAAAACCTTCAAACATGTTTTCAATCCTTCAAATGCAGGACAGAATATACTGTTCTGATAAAATATCTAAAAAAAAATCGGGAAATTTTAATCCACTTTTTGGAAAAATGTACAACTTGGGATTAAAAAATTAGAACTCATAAATGTATGCCATTTTGGAAGAATACCATTCTCCGGCAAACAACTAATCGTAAGAATGCTCGATACACAGCGGAATACAATAAGTACAAGCATAGATAATGCAAACACTCTTTGATGGACGAAAAAATTAGTCAGGGCTCAGTATATATTCAGCATATATTCTGAATATAACTACAAGTCAACAAGGGTTCTGAGCGTGGTGTACGCGAGTCAACAGGAGACACTAGTAATAAACCGCACTGTAGGTCTCCTTTAAGACGAATATGACATGAACCCTTTTAGCGTATCGAGCTGTAAATACAGAATGTCTCCGGAAGACCCGATGATTAAACTTGTATGAAGAGTGGAAGAAACAAAAGGGACCTGCTTTGCGATCAGCTAATTCTCGGCTAGTAAGCGAAGCGTGATTTTAATTAAACCTTCTCCTTTCCCATTTTGAACAGCTGCTTTGACATCGCATGAATCATTCTCTGCGGAATTTTCTGCACAGGCTTGCATAATATTGCTTCTGTGCTGGAACAGAACCATTATAGGATTTGCGATCGCGGAGGTTCATTCATCTTCCAAAAATAAGATTCAATATCATCTGTTACGAAAGCTTTGCCGCTGTATAAATATAATGACTGAAAATGACTTTCATCCTAGGAAATTGCTCTTTCCGGAATGAGGCTTTGTGTGTTGGAATATAGTTTTTGGGTGCTCAAATTTGTTTAAATGAGGACAAAAGGCGCGAGTTTTTTTTGGTTAGGAATAATACTTGAAGAGATTAGTTGAAATTACGAATTAACAAAATATTGAAAAGCTTCAAAGAAACCTACTGCTATGATTTCATATAAAATTGGAAATTTTCGGAAGAAAACAAAATTTGAATCTTCATTTCATACCATTCCATAGATTATCAAGCGAACACGATATTCGCAAATCGCGGCATGAGTCGAACTTTTCAGCAAGGTTTAAACTAATGAAGTAATTTAGTATATGGACTAATTTCTGGAATGGCTGATGACTACTGCTGGTTATTCGTCACGATTAAAGATTGAAAACTATTATGCTGTGGACTTGAAATAAATTAGGAACGCTTCTTTTTTCATTGAGAACCACTGTGTTGACATGAGTTTTTGCGAACGTACTATCGCCAAATTTCAAAATACTTTGTTGTGGAAGAAATTTATAAACTTTAAAATAAACTACTGATATACCCCCTCGAAAGATACAGCAATTCATTTGTACGTTTCGTCTATTTTTGGTAGGTAAGTTTTTAAGTCAAAATGTTTTAAAATATGATAATAGAGTATATTTGCTGTAGAATTGTGAATCATTAATTTTAATTTTCCCTAGCTCAGACTTTATCAGCTTCAAGGCAAAATTCCAGCATAATTAACGCAAAACCTGCCAATATCAGAAAATTCTTTAAAATCGAAAAAAGGAAGTATAGTATAGTTTTCATGAATTGCCACTCGGAACACTTTGTCATTTCAACTATTTTTTGAACATCATGACCATTGGATATCCATAAAACGTGAAATTTTAGAAAAAATATATGCTATGAAATTATAATTAACTGTCCCGTCTCTCAATTTAAAAAGGCATATATACCGATTTCAATGGCTTAGGCAATTTTAAAACTATTATTTTGAAGAAATTGAGCCTAATTTCACCCAGCATTTAACCAGTCTCCAACAAATGAATCTCTGAAACGTGGGAATAACATAGCTGGTAATACCTGAACATCAGGCCCTCTTTCAATAAGCCAATGAGGGCTATTCCAAGCCCAAGGAATCTAATACGTATAGACTATTTCTAAGTCAATTCGAATAAAGAATCCTCCCTCTCTCAGCTGCTTGAAAATTGATGCTCTCTCGATGCATCTAAATTCCTAGAATGGTTCAACATCGCACGATCTTCTCACGTTGAATCCGAAAGTGGACGTATATTTTGAGATCGTTCCGATGGGTTCCCGAAGATAAAGTCTATTCATCGTTGGATAGTACTTGGATCTGGGGCAATTGTGTATGCATGGAATCTCAACCCAGCGATAGACTACGAAGAAGGATTTTTTTAAAATTCGGTCCTTCCTCATGGTCTACTCGATACATTCGGGTCACGACGTCAAAACCCGGGCCAAAAAATAAAATAAAATAAATCGCAATACCGATCGAGAGATGCTGCGTCGAATATGGAAGTCTAGCTGCTAGACGTCAGAGTTATATGAGGCTCCTTATCGAAGTGTAATAACGTATAAATCCGCGTTCATATTCCCTAAGAAATCACTTTCTGACAGCGTAGTGTAACGAATACTAGTTCACTATTTCCTGTATATTACGAATTTTTTTCTGATGTGAGTCAGAAGGATCTGTGAGTCTATTCTGTCGCTTATTCCGAGCATAGTTCACATTCTGCCACTTCTTATGGTTCGGTGTGACTCTGATTAATTTTATACGAATCTGGCATTTTTGTTTGAGACTTACTATAAGAGAAGTTCAGCGCTTTAGTAAGCAATTATCAGCGGAAAAAGATAATTTCTATCGCTGCGGAAGGTCGAAATAAAAATGAGGTCGTTTTCGGAATCTGATGTCTGTACTTACAAAGTTGCATTCGGAAAAGAATGATTAACCTTTTCAGCATGCTTATAGATATTATAATAATATCGTATAAATGTATCAGCGAGAATACCCGCTATACGTTGAAAATACTGTATACCAAACTCAAAAGCTTTGAATTTTGTTTCGAAGGATTTTCACTTTTTAATTCTCTACATATGGGTAATATGCAGATAAAAACGACCAGATATTATCCCGTGCTCGCATTTCCTTTTATCAATTGGTAATTCTTGAACGAATCAATTAAATAAAAGAGTTGAAAGAGTTCAAGATTTTTAAATCCTGTTTCCATCAACGGAGTTTTTCTCCTAAATAACTGTGAAATTTAGTCGATTGAAGCCGTAACAAAATTTCGATATAAATACTCAGACATATCACCATCCATATCACTTAAATCAATGTATGTTGGCCAACAATTGGACAATATTTTGTCCAAATCCACACGTCACTAGGACATTCTTTTCTCAAACCCTCTTCAACCCCCGATCATTGAAGGGGATGGTAAAATCATATTGTGCTATTTTTGGGCCGTTAAATGTTTTTGCCAGCCGTACTAGAAAGCAAAGCTAAAATTTGGTACGCAGTATTCAAAATCAAGAGGAAGAAAATTGAAATAACTCCAGCCTTGGCACCATCCCAAATGCATGTACATTGCATCAAATTGCTTTATTAGGAATGATTTGATAGAAATAAAATAACTCGCCATCCTGAAATACTTTTTTCGATTCAGCTCTGTATATACATTTCTAACATGGGATCTCAAAAAGACATTTTCTGACAACAACAACAAATCCCTTACGAAAAGAACATCCTCGAAACATAAAAATCATTTTAAATATAAAAATAGGAAGATATACCTACAATTTTTGAATTTTTGTGGAGCTGTATGCTTCCGTCAAAAAAAAAAAGAGAGAAAATGTATTTTGTATACCCTGTACATGCTGATCTCGGAGCTCTTCTCTCCGTCGGTCGGACGTAATAGAACCTAGGTCTCGTCGCACATGCAATATTTCCGAATATAATGGCGAGCAAAAAGGGTCTTTTCAATCCCCCCCCCCCCTCAGTCACTGGGCGGGAAGGGCGTCCTGCGCGTTTATGTGATGCAATTTCCCTTCGGAAGACGGACGCCTTATCGCCTTTTCTTCAGAGCTCCTGCTTTTTCGCTGCTGGCCACCTACGACAACAACCGAGAGGCCCAAAAATAAGCCTATTGTGATTCGCGGTCTTTGCTCCTGCTTCTTTTTCTTTTTTTCTTTTTTTTGGCTGAATGAGGCTAAATGCGGATATACAGTACAGTATACGTGGGCGTTGAAAGTGCGTCTAACTTATAAAAGCGGAGAATGTGCAAGTATTATAGGCAGGTTTATATACTGTAGTTGCGATTTTCGATCATAATGCCGAAGTATATAGGTGAGACCTCTTGGGTTTGAGCAATTCGCTTTGAGATTTATTATCCCTGGAAACTCTGCTTGTGAACAAAGTAATATTGCGAAATATTTTACTGACTCCAGATCCCAAGATATTAAAAGAGGGCTAATAATCGAATTATAAAAATGAAGAAGCTTCTTCTTCTGCCCGTCGTTAAAAAAAAAAACAAAAACAAATAGGGCTATTTTTAAATTTTCATTCTGGTTTAGAGCAGATATCACGTCATTGATCGAGGTTACAAAAGAAACGTCTCTTGACTAAGGTTCTTTTTTTTTTTTTTTTTTTTTTTTTGGCTGAATGAGGCTAAATGCGGATATACAGTACAGTACGTGGGCGTTGAAAGTGCGTCTAACTTATCAAAGCGGAGAATGTGCAAGTATTATAGGCAGGTTTATATACTGTAGTTGCGATTATCGATCATAATGCCGAAGTATATAGGTGAGACCTCTTGGGTTTGAGCAATTCGCTTTGAGATTTATTATACCTGGAAACTCTGCTTGTGAACAAAGTAATATTGCGAAATATTTTACTGACTCCAGATCCCAAGATATTAAAAGAGGGCTAATAATCGAATTATAAAAATGGAGAAGCTTCTTCTTCTGCCCGTCGTTTAAGAAAAACAAAAACAAATAGGGCTATTTTTAAATTTTCATTCTGGTTTAGAGCAGATATCACGTCATTGATCGAGGTTACAAAAGAAACGTCTCTTGACTAAGGAGAGGGATTTTTTGATTTTATAGAAAAACTGTAAACCAATTCAATCCGCCAATTTTTCCTCTTGATGGATCCAGTTGATTGATCAGCAACCCATCACTAAAAAAGTTTAAATATTTGCGCATCCCTCTTCTCCCTGTCTGTAAAGTGTAAAGGTCCACTATAAGTTGTTCTCAAAAAGTAAGAAGCATCTCAAGAGTTTTGATTTTCCCCCAAAAAAATTTAAAATTCAAATTAAGGAAGAAAGTGATGAGAATGCCAAGAAGCCGTATTAAGTTATGCTGCATAAATTATTCTACAATAACTTTTCTGTATTATTTGAGCCTCAAATTTTAGCAGAATAAAAATACTCCATCTCTGATGCTTTTAATCAAATTAAAAACAAAAATTTCTGACCATTCCCCATTAAGATTATTTGTTATCGCCGTAAGTATGTCTCTGGGTTGGAAAGGGCTCAATGTCGGTAGAAAGAGGATCGAGACAATGTTTCCAGGTTAAATTTTAAGGAAAGGTCACGGAACGAATTGTCTCGGTGAATGTCAAGTTCGATCCGCAGATAAATCCAATAAAAAAAGAAGCGTTGAATAATCCACGCCCGATGAAAAATATATAAGGTCACATACGAGAATCCTCTAAACGCGGATGACGATTTAGAACGCAATTTCAATCAAGGATTGATTGATCAACATTTTCCCAGATCGATTTTCTCCTCTTTTAAGATTGCCATCTACAAGTTCTGCCTCGGAAAATTCTTTCAGATGCGTTCAATCAAAAACTAATCCCAACCGGTATTGCGAGAAAAAAATAATAATAAGTCCAGAGACGTCATCGAGATGACGTGAGCATCTGGCAGAAGTGCCATCGACATTGACGTTCATTTTTGCTGCGTCGCCTTTTGCAGCTGAAAGGAGCTTTTTACGCACAAATGCGTCGATCATGTCAAGATCTCTGATCGATCGGCTTAATTAGGCGTAACCACTCACTATTCATCCTCTGGCCTATGCAGGGAACTAATGATTTTTTCGTTGAGATAACTTCATTTTCGCTCATCATGAAAAAATCTGTACTCCGTGAAAAAAATGAATCGGATTTAGAATCGACCAGGAATTATTTTAATAAAGATAAATTACATCAGATGGACTTCTCTCTGCCACGATTTTCTCTGATTTATAGCGTCATTTCTCCATGTTAAAGGGGTTGCATACAACGAAATACTCTCTTCAATTATTGTTTTTCTATTCCGATGATTTTTTTTGGGAGAGTCCATCTGTAATTACAATTCGTGAATTGGGAAACTTTGTTATTCAACGAGAACAGCATGATTTATCGACGTTTACACTGACAGTATACTTGCAGGAATTACGAATTACAGTATATGAATTTATAAATTATTATGAATTTTTTCTCGTCTCTTGAATTTTTGTTGGAGAGAGTCCATCTGTTATTATATTTCATATATCAGGAAACTTCTCATTTTAACAAAGAATTGCATGATTTCTTAAAGGTTATTATGCTGACATTAAGTAATACGCCAATTGATCAAGAAAATGTCCGCGAGTTAGATTGGATTAAATAATTTACTGAACGTAGTAACAATCAATGCGTTTATGTAGGACCCAATAATACCTTACTGGGCATTTCAGCACTTTTTTTGAAGGTTTTAGAAAATTACTGGAATCTGATATGTAAGCCCTATATGGAAAGAATCCAATCACATCTGAACGTTATTTTTAAACCCCTTGCGCCACAAAAATTATATTCGGAATAAATCTAATTGACGAATGAATTTTCGTGGATGATTTTTATCGGTATTTTCTTCAACCTCGGTGATTGTCTTGCACATATCATTCGTGATTCACCAACGAATTATTGAATAAAATATTATTCCAAGACTCTCGATTGATTTGATATGAATCAATGAATTATATACTCACCTGATGCCGGGATAGCATGACAAACGTGGAGAAGAGAAGAATGGACGAGACCAGGAACATGTTTACCATCCGCAGGTTGGTTCCCACACAGCGACTTGCTCTATGTACAGGCCAGCTTTGAATCGCGAAAAAAAAAATCCTCAATTGCCGGAGCCACGAATTCAGCAACTTATCGCCAGAAAATGATAAAAATTGTGCGCGAAGTTTACTGCGAAATGAAGGACAAAAAAATGCAAGTAAATATTCGCACGTGAATTCAGGAAGAAGTCAGCATCTTGCGACGAATTATTGCGCCGAGGAACTTTTTTGATGTTCCCGACGTACGGACAGAAAAAAAATGAAAGGAAAAATTATGGCACAATTGCCAAGATGCTTTGCCAACCTTATTACGGAAAGACTTTCTGGGTCAGATCTTCCCTCTGACCTCAGAAAACAGTTTTAAAACACATCAAAGTTACTAACTTTCTCTCGCTGCTGTACGTGTTGATGAAAATAAATTGTTGGATTATTTTCGTAGCGTAAAAGGAAATGGATTCATTTTTTTTTGCAGAGCTTGGAAAGGCTGCGACTGCGAGAAATCGTCTCAATATAAATTACTGCTTTTGCACATTTGATTATTATTTTTGACGCACTATGCGCTTGAATCGAGTATATATTTTTTTCATTGACTCAGGAAAGATTATTTATTTTACTTCGAATGCTCACGAAGGCTAAAAATTGTGGAAAATATTCAGGTCATTTTTTCCCAAAGGAAATGAAGAAATACTGTTGTATTCCTTGCCGAAGGTGATCCAGCGGAGATCTGAGCAGGATCGTGTCTCAGCAAGGGCTATTTACGCGTCACTCCAATAGCGACGATTTTTGCTGCGTACACGCATCTCGAACGGTTTCTTGGTCCCCTTGTGTGGATATGGTCAAAGTGAGGGAAAAAGCCCAACTGATCGCCGACCAATTGATCGTCACGACGAGTCAGCGTCACGCAACTGAGCGCTCCTGAAAACGACGATGCGTCACACAACTGATGAGCATCAGCCGAATATTTTGACACGATACCCTGCTTGAGGCGAATAATTTGAAACTGCATTCATTACAAAATGAAAAAAATACAAGTACTGTGTGTGGCCATTTGATGATGTGCTTCAAATTGGCACTGTGACTGAATTTTGGCTGAATTTGAGCATAATTCTTGACCCTGTTTTCTCGTGCACACAATAAAGTCCTAATTTCAATTATTTGATATGTGTCATCCACGTTCAACTGGAAATTTGTCCGGTAAATGCTTTATGAGTTATAAATGCATAAATTTACTGAGCTTCTAGAAAATGTTCTCTCTACACGAAAACACAAAAAATACTTTGGTGCCTTGTACAACGAAGGACAGTGCCACGCAGAACTTTTTTCGCACAAAAATAAGAAGACTAATAAGAAAGGGTGGGTATAAATTTTCACATGTTCTAACAGAATTTTCTTCAACGATTTCTCTAGTTAACGATTTTTTGGGGTTCCAGACGGTCAAGTCCCCAAGATATTTATAGGGTAGTTCTCTACAAAGAAATTCTCTCTACAACGATTTTTTATGCTCCCTTGAGTTTCGTTGTAGACTTAGAGAGTCCACCTGTATATTTCGTATCGTTCGTTGTGCAGCACACTTGTACAGTTCAATATATTTTTGGAGTTTCTGTTTGTGCGCGGGTTTTTCTTTGCACGAAGCCGGTTGTGGAGCAATAATAGGAAACTCTGCCACAGCAAATAACAAAGTCACTATATAAGCTAGGTCAGTTGGGTCATGTTCAGTTGGGCTGTCCCTCTGTGTGCACCCGGTCCAAAGCTGTGCCATTAGTCTCGTAAGTTGTGACAGATGCCATCTTCGTCTGACCGGGACAATAAGACACTGACCCAGACCCTGAGGCGAAAAGAGGGAAAGAGGACATTCGAGGAGCTGGATATATAGAACAAATAAATGAGCATCCTGCGACGCAATTGTTTTGTTAATGACAAACTTACCTTTATCAAGAAATTTTCGTTTGCCGAAAATCTAGAGAAAGAAAACCTCAATAAAAAAACCGTCGATTGAAAATAAATTGCGAGGGGAGAAAAAAATACGTCAAGCCTGCTTTTGCAGTTGATTATTATCAATTCAAAAGGAGGAAAATACGAAATTTCCTCATTTGCTGTCATATTATCATCACCACCATCATTATTTTTAATTAATATCATTAAATCAGGTAATGCTGCAAACGACTTTTATAAGCAGTAATTTCAGGGAAATGTTCCATTTTCTTTAAGAAAGGGTCAAACATTTTTCAGGAACAATTCAGCCTGCATACTTGAGTAGATAACTTGAAAATACTGCATATCAACTAGATTCAGTACATACGAGTATTTTATCAGTGACCCTACATAAAGTCGATTTTCAAGCTCGAATGATTAAAAACTTGTGGAAGTGCAGAATTGCGCATATTAAGTAGGAAATGAGACATGGATTTTCAAAGCAGATACGGCATGTTTTGTCTTGGTTATATAGTCTGCATCAGGGAATTTTGACAAGTATAATAAGAAATTTTACCTGTATGGACATTATTATTCCTATATATACGCCTTGATTTTTTCGCAATTTTTCAGATGTTCCCTTTTGGTACAAAACCAGTGCTTTTAGCGTTTGTGTCTAAATTTCGATAAATATTCCATCCAGAAATGTATTAAACTCGAAGGAAACTTTTAGATTCTTCCTTCATTTCTTTTTGGCATGGCTCCGCATAAATGAATTCATTGAGTAAAATGTACCACGCCATATTTCCTTCAGAGATCTCAAAATATTCAATGCGTCTTGCCAGAATATGATCAGTGATTACCGATCCCGAAGTACTGATGAAATGAAAAGTGATGGCATGAAAAAAATATATCACTTATATGATTTTTCAGGTTACTCTACCGTAGAGAAATTTGAGAATTACATTACTCACAAAATCTGAGAAATAGCTAAAAGTTCAAGTGTCCAAGTGCCTTAATGAATCTCTGGCTAAAAAAAATGGAAATTTGAGAAAAACGGAAAGGTGAGACTTCTACAAGTTGAAAAAATGCTCTTGTATAATAAAAAAATGAGAACACAGATTGTTCAGCAAGGCTGTGGCAGGGACTTACATCCTAGTATACAGTTGATATATTATTTCAGAGATGAAAGTTGTGGATACACTGTACTTTTACTGTACTATTGCAAATTTCACAAAGGCAAAATTTCAAACAACACTTGCAAGAAGATGTGCAAATAGTAGCTTGTTCTTTGGAGATTAGCTCAATTGGGCAGCACACTGCAGAATGTATCAAAAAAGAGGTTTTGGGGAAACATATTGATTCAGAGGATCATTTTGGATGTTGAGATTAACCATATTCAAGGGACATATTTTGTGTGTCCTTGCAGGGTTTGCTGGGAACCAAACTTGGGTTTGGTCCATCAGCAAGTCAATTTGACTAGAAGAGATTACTGCTAATTATTGGCATGAAACCAAGAAGACGACTCCATACATTTTTTCCGACACACAAAATACATTGATTCGTGTGAAGATCCTCCTGCAATTTCCACAAAACGAATTGGCAGCCTATAATTATATAATTCTCGACTCTGGCAAACATTTACTGATCCTTTCACAACCCTTTTTAATAAAGACCCTTTTATTGTTCATGCGTATGCGTCACAGTATGCTCTCTTCCGGAAACGTGCTTCTCAAAATTGTCTTTCCTTTCATTATAGGTCTCATTTGCACTTCCTCGTTACTTCACGCTAAAGGCGGTCCTTTCAAATACTTGCATTCACCCGATGCTTTTATAGATGTGTAATTGCCAAATGCCCTTTGTTCCGAGATAAGCTGAGATGGTCCATTCATGACGCGATCAAAAGCTGATCGTTAAAAACGAACCTTTCTGGTAATTAATTTCGTGAGAACAATAAAAAACTGAAAAGATTTGATGATTTTTGAAGAATATTATGGCCCAAAATAGTTTCGGTTACCAACTGCAGAATCGAACGGAATTGTATGCAATTGATTCAAACCGAATTCAGCGAATTGAATCCCGCAAATTTATAAATTGAGTGAACTGAAATGCTCGAAACCTCGGAAATATTTTTCGAGTTCTTTCATGATATCTTTTTTCTTTTCTCCCATTAATATTTTTCATCACGACACTGAAAAAAACGAAGCGGCCTTTATGTTGAAGCTGGAACGATTTTATTTTTGGCAAAGATCTATAGTCCAGTGACGTAAGAAAATGCAACATGATGAGCGGGCGCCTCAAGTGGCCAATTTCTCATATTATTGTGATATGATTGCTGATTGATTTCTTTTCGTATATTTACGCATCATTCAACGGAAAAATGAAAAGAAACTCTGATCGAAAGAGCATAAACAAATTTTGTTTGAAAGTCTCTATAAGTATAGACAACATCAATATTCAATACAAAAATATGATCGCCTTTATTGTACTACCTTATGCATACAATCATATTCGCAGCCCCTCATCCCGATTTTTAAATTGAAACACCTGTATATTCAGAGTTATGAAAGTAGTAACAAATAATAACAGTCGGATAAATTCGATTACTAGCATATGTGAGATTTATTAATCCTGGGCATGCGTATATACAAAGAGGATCGCCCATATTTCAGGTTGAAAGAAGCAAGCAACCCCGCAATGAAATTTTTATTTTGGCGTCTTCATTTCCCCCACATTGACTTGCTATACTCCAAGAAAATATTCTGAAATTAAGACAGCAATGAAATACTTTAGAAAGATGATTAATAATCCAAAAATACGATCTTATATAAGAATCTTTTAAGCCAATAACTGAACATAACATATACAGTATACAGTACTATACAGTACAGTAAATATAGAACGCATTTCGATTTTATAATGCGTTGATTTTTCAAATTTTCGGAAACGACGGTGATATCATCCCAGGTCGGTCAAAATTGGTAGCTTTTCTCATCTTCATGTACTTCTTTCCGATTTTTAAAATTTTCAATGCCGAATTGAAGCATCGGAAGAAAACACGACAGCAGGCAATTAGCTCGAATGCTAGAGAATGTACGTACTATATACAGTATTATATTGCATGTAGATTCAGGCCCACGAATCCCGCTCGGATTCGGAAATTGTCAACATGGTTACGCAGTATCCCTTTTTAAAGTGCATTGTTTTCTGTTTTCCTACGGCATTCTGGAAAATTCGCGGTTCCCAGAGCATAAATTATTCAAGGTGCCCGACGCCTGATTGATTGTGGCAGCGAAGCGGATTCGCCTCCATATGCGCTGCGACCGCGGGTTGCCTCGATTTCTGCGCTCATCATGATTTAATTCTTCAGAATTGATCTCATTTGCTTTTTTGAGCATAAAATGGCACACAAAAATATACTGTACTTTAGTTATTTCAATTTGTCCCTTGCTTCGACGAGGGAAGTGCGGAAAAGCATATTTTTCTGCGTGAATTACAAACAGATCATCTCTTGGATCGATTTTAAAGGAATTTAATTCGCCTAAATCTGGATTTTTCGACTTTGAGGTGATTGACTGTTATGTACTGAGAAAATCTAAAAATTCAGAAAACTTCTGCCAGGTTCGATGGATAATAGTCTGGATTTGGGTTTTTGGCACAATCTCGTCAACAACAACGACAGCAAAAGATTTTTCTGCACGTTACACTTAAAAACTTGCTTACACTTTCTTTCTCTCTTGACAAACAGATTCGCGCGTTTTGAAAACGATGAGTCTGCTGTCGGGGAAAAATATGCATGTTCTCCTCATCCCGTTGATTGCTTTGTCGTGTTTTGAATGGTCATCAGCAGCTAATATGATGTCCCTAGCAAAGGACTGCTGGGATCCAAATGAACCATTTCATAGGTCACCTTTGCGAAATGCCACCTCGGTCAACAACAGCACGACCCAGCAACAACCTTTACCGGCTCTCACACCTGGTCGACAACAGGATGCCCAGATCCGAATTGCCATCGACGCGGATTCCTATCGAATTGGACAAAAAGTTACAGGTTAGTTTTAAATTAAAAATCATTGGCGTTTTTTACCTTCTCTGGTGTGAGAAATTTTCTACTGTGTTCACTCGCGTATAACACGTTCAGATATTTTTTGTTTTGAAAATCAAGAGAAAAAAACCAAGGATGAGCGTCATAAACAGGCAATTTTCAAACTTCAGGTGAGCCTCATACAGTACTTGAGACTCGTAAAGCATGGTAGACCCATTCCAATTGAAATTATACGAGAAATGGAATTACATTGAGAGTGATGAAATTCATTCAAGTTAAATTTGAATTTTTATAATTACATCTCTGCATTTTTCAATTTTTAGTCAGGAAAATGAGGTTTAAATTTTACGCAAGAAAAGATTTTCATCCAAATTTTGGGAATCAAAATGCCTTACTTGAGGGCAAATGGAATATGAAATGCTGGTGACAGATGTGATCAATAAAATCAAAAGCATTCCCACAAAAAGGAGTGGAAATACAGAGATATACAACGTACAGTGCGTGATCTGCCATCAAATATAGCGTTCTTTAAATTAACTCCGAAGTGATGAAACCCCTTTTTTATGACATTATTGGCGTCGTGGAAAAATCTACTAGAACACAGCTAGCTAACGAGAAACAAAATACTGTACTGCATAAATTCATGACAGAGTTTGGCATTCGAATGTATTTCAAATCAAAATTGCCTTTTTCGACCAATTCAAAATTGGGATAAAACTGGGTTCAAAATTGGAAATACGCCGTTTTCAAAACCTATTTCGGGATTCAAAACAGAACTTTTCTACTTGAACGTAGTACTGTGAAGCACAACCCTTCTTGAGCCACTTGTATATCAGGCCTTAATTGCTTTCAGGCATGTTTTTTTCGGGTTCAATTAATCGTCAAGTAAAAATTGGCACATACCTGAGAGGCTTGCCAAACCATCTATTTATTTTTTCAAAAATTGCTTTTTTGCTTCTCATAAAAAATTTGTACAAAAAAGTGACGGTGTCGTCGGACAACCCGTTCGAAGCGTACGTCATCACGGCGACGGGTTCCACGGTGCGCAACACCGACGAGGTGTGGCCCGGGAATTTCCTGCCCGAGTCGTCGGATCGACGGCAAGTGTTGCTGTCGTGCAACGAGCAACTCAATAGCGCGGCGGCCAGTGGACCCGAGAGATCCGACTTCAGATCCGTCTCCGCCAGCTGGTTGCCGCCGGATCGCGACGTCGGCCTCGTCTCGTTCAAGTACAGTATATATATCAAGTACAGTACAGTACGTTCAAGTACAGTATATATAAAGTACAGTACAGTACGTTCAAGTACAGTATATATATCAAGTACAGTACAGTACGTTCAAGTACAGTATATATATATCAAGTACAGTACAGTACTTTCAAGTACAGTATATATATCAAGTACAGTACAGTACGTTCAAGTACAGTATATATATATATATATATATATATATATATATATATATGCTGTGGACAAGAGCCACCACAAAGAACGAAAAGGCGTTAAATCAAATCAACAAATGACGAAATATGAAATAAAACGAATTATCCCGCCGGGGAACACGGCAGGGAAGCCTTTGGTAAGGCTTCCAAAGAAAAAGAGTAAAGGAACGTATTTTGAACAATAAACACTGAATAATCGATGAATTTCAAATACTCCGAACGCGGCAAAAGCTTAGGTGAGACTGTGTTCTAGTTAGCATGAAAATGGATGACGTTGGAAATTCCGATTGGGGAATTCCAACGTGGAACTTTTTCTTTTTGGACGGGACGAGACCACTGCTGGTGACACCTGTCCCTCACATATGCTCTTCTGCTAAAAAAAAAAAAAAAAAAAAAAGGGATTAAAAANTTTGAAAATTTTCTTTTTTTTTTTGTAAAAAAAAAAAAAAAAAAAAAAAGGTTTTACGAATGTTATGCTAAGGTTTCCGCAGCTCCTAGGAGTTGCAATTGCTTCAAAAATGTAACAATAGATTTAAAAATGTAATTTTAATTTTTCGTACAATAAGTCACATTTGAAGGGAAATCCAAAGCAAAAATTGACTACATTATACCGTATTTACGTGAGTAAATATACCATGCGAACCTTTCTTCTGGAAAAATTCAAAGCAGAAAAATGGGGTGCAAGTGTTTTGCAGGGATAAATTTGTTGAAGCAAAAAAGAAAATTATGAAACCATTGTGGTGGGAGCCATAATTCACTATAAATAAGTCAAAGTTTATGAACCTTTAGAATCCTGTATGGAACCAATCTTGTTGAAATTATTTCATGATATTACATTTATACAATGTATGAATGATCTCGTTTAATATAATTTTTTTTAAATCGATTTTCAAGCATTTAAAACTGATGGGATGCGCGTCTTATATGTGCGGATAATTTTGGCAAAGTCCGTACCAATAACAAAGCCATGATGTGCGTCTTTTTTTTGTGTAAATATGGGAAATAATTTTCAATTCGGAAAATCTGGTTCCCTTTGGGTAGGTAGTTGCTGATCAATAGAAATTACTTTCTTGCCGAAATATTATAACTGTTTAATATTCAAAGATGCCCTATATAGGCATCATGTAGTACCTGCAGGAAGTTTCCCGGCCCCTTTTGGAGAGCATAAAGGAAAAAAATGAGCACAGTTTTTTGAACAAATATTTTAAAATGCCGACCCAGTTAAGAAAAAAGCCTTGAAAAGTGGTTTGACCGAAATGCCGCAAGTTAGGAAAGTTCAAGTTGGAAGATGAAATAAATTTCAATTGACGGAATCCCTGAACGACATTTTTTCCAACCTGTTTTCCAAATATGCGCGTTTGAATGACACGTTTTTCAAATACCCCTGTTCGAAATATCGCCATTTCTCAAAGTTCTGAATCATCTGGTAATTCTAATGCCTTAATTCGTTTGAATATAGACATTCTATTGATCATTCGAGTCACTTCATTGGCCATACCCTGTTGTTTGATTTCAGTGCCTCGTTATATTATAAGCTGATCTAATTAATTTCTGGACGAAGCGTCGTGATAATTTGCAAAATATCTAAAACTTGCATTCTTTCATTCTCCATCAATCCTCAATTCCTCATCCACAGGGTTGCCGTCTTGCGAGGAAATGTGTTTTGGACGAACGAAACAGCCAGGCTTCAGTTTTTTCCATTTCGTAAGTGACAAAAAAGGAAAAGAAACTGGATTATGCTTGTCATCATTGATTAAATGAATAATTCCTAAATTTTTGAGCTTGTTTTTTTTCTCCAGCTCCACCGATTGATCAATGCGGAGAGCGCAAATTCTGTTTGCGAAAATGCAATCGAGCCATCACCAATTGTCCCTCGTCGGAAGCCGAGATCGTTTACATGCAGGACAAGTGGGAAGGAAGAGAACCTTTACTTGCTGTCCTGGGTGGAGTTGCTCCAGGACCAATGGTCTGGACTTCTAAAATTTGAAAAACACGAAATTAATGTCAATTCCAACGAGAAAGCCATTTAAATTTTTTTTGAAAGACATGGAGATTTTTTGCTTCCCACAATTGCAAGTTTCCGTCATGAATTTTCCGGAAAACATGTCTCCGAATATTTCCAGTATGATCGATTTGAGTCTTGTACAGTATTTTTTTTTAAATACATTATGCAAGCATTCGAATCAGAAATTAGCGAAACAAAGCCGACGAAAATCTGGGAAGATGTGTTGCATTGATAGTGAACTTCAAGAAACTTCAACTGCAAAAATTAAACCAACAAGCCTCATTTCATGAAGATTTCGAAAAATATATGATGTTTCCAAAAAGAGCTAGTGCTGGAAAAACAATACCAGAAGTATGAGTTGAAATCGAATAAATTTGAAAAATAAAACATGTATGTTGAAGAAAACTATATTCTCGAAAAATTCAATGGCCCACGAATTCAAGAATTAAGAATATTCGCTCCTGACGAGCTTTTAAATTATTCTCTAGTAGATATTCCTAAGAAATGAAAGATTTTCTAATTTAATTTTTCTGTCGTTGGTGTTCGTCTCCACAGTCCTCATCAGAAAAATGGCAGTTACTCAAATTTCATGGAAAATGACCTTTCACAAGCACCGAGAATTTCAAATTCATCTTCCAGATGAAATTTAGATTTGATGATTTGAATCTGTCTCGCACTTTTTTGTTTACAAAGATGTGATAATATCAATTCATACCGATCAGACTCCGGAGACTTCATGTACAATACCAAACACTCAATCAAAGGAGTACCTATAGCCAAAAAAAAACATAGTAAATACAGTGAGACCCTGAGATGCTGACGTAATTGGTGCACCAAGAGTGTCCCTAAGTTGAAATGTCCCTAAGCTGAGTCTCAGTTCCCCTTAGACTTACATTATATAATTTTTAATTGGTGTTTTATTCCAAGTCAAGTCTCATTTTCCCTTAGATTTACATTATATACTTTTTAATTGTTGTTTTATTGACAAAATGCTCACCATAATTCCATGAAAAGAAAAATTGCCACCCAATTTAAACTGATTCAATCAATATATTTCTACACAATATGGACCTTTGGAGAATTGAATACTGATACTTATATACAGTTTGTCAAAATGTTGGCATTCTCTGTAAAAATAACATTCAAGTGAAAAATAGAGAAGGAAGTCTCTCTATGCTGGAGGGAATTTTTTAAATTAGCTAAATGGATGGTGAATTGGTGAGAGAAATGCCCAAGAACGTTTCTTACATCAACTTTAGGGTTGGAAATAATGAAGTTTCTTTTAATTTGGCTTGAAACTTGCAATTTTATCACAAAATGTCCCGATGTTGAGGCCGTGTCCTCATCATGTCAGGCCTTTTTATTAATTTTTGTATGGGAAAATAAGTGTCCCTATGCCAAATTGTCTGCATGTGGGGGTGTCACTGCTTGAAAATATTTACAATGCCCTGGTAGCGAAGCGTGTGTTTAATAACGCGTGTTTGGTTCACAAATTGTTTTCTTTTTCTCTTTCCCCCTGGCTGGCTCTGATACTGTACTGTATCTTCGATTCGAGACAGGACTTCGTTGCCATGGGTTACACGGCAGACAAGGACCAGCTTTCCAATTCGGATTTGACGATTTGTGCCAGGTCCTTGATCAACTCGACCACCTCAACCACTCGTCCGATTCTGCAGCACTTCTTGATGGAAAGACTGGAGTACGGGCCCAAACGAAGCGGGCTTAACGAGGGATCGGAAAATGTGAGAGGATTACTGTATAATTAAGGTCACGGGATTTAGTTTGACTCGCATAAAATCCGTATCCCCATGAACGATGACGTTGAATCACGTGGACGAGCATTAAAATCGGAGAAGGATGTATCCAAAAAATTCTCTCATCGACAGCACAGCTGGCTAACGATCGGCAATTTCTCAACCATTTTTAAAGGGAACTCTTTAAAAGTGCTCAGACTTTTAAGGGGAATGTTCAACGAATAATCAAAAATAATATTGAATTAACATTTTTGAAAATAAAAAACTTCCGAATTTATACTAGCTGAGAATAAAGGGAAGTTCATGGAACGAAAAAACCTTTGGGAGAATTAGCATTATATCTTCCTCAACATATACAGCGACGATGCTAATTCCTTATAAAAAAATGTAAAAGACATTCACTCATGCGACAAGAATCACTCTCACGACTTTGAATTTCTTTAACGAATGCTGCACCTCTTATGAGGTAATATTGTTGGAGAAATGGAATCTACCAGATGAGTCTATAAGGTCTTCAGCAAAAATAAAAATAAAATTTTCAAGGAAGACATTGCGAAGCCCTTTTCTCGTAAAATCGAAAACTATGGTTACTTGGAAAAGGGTTTCCAATGACCATTCGACTTTTTTTGTGTGCCAACCTTGTAAAAACTTCTGGTCATTGTATAGTCTTAGAAAAGATGAGACTAACACAACTCAGTTTTCTGTGCATTTTAATTGTGTGATATTACAGCTGTAGTGGCATACAATTTTCAAGCCTCGATTTCGAAAGAAACTTGAAATGAAATGACAAAAAACTCAATTTGTATACTACCCTACGGATTTATGGGTTATTTCGAGAAATTCGGAGAATTTTTGCACATTTTCCTGATGAATGGCTTGAAAATCGAACCTATTCGCAGTTCAATATTGACTCTTCCTCAACGATGGACGACGTCAGAGTGTGGTGCAAATTCACACGACCCGTCACGGGTCTTTCCAGGAAGACATTGGACTTGAAGAAGCCCTTGTACAAATTCTACTTCACCGGAACTCGGAATGAAAATGGTAAAGGCTTTTGTTAATTTTACAACAAAAAACGGTGATAGCTTCACGAAAAATTATTTTTTATCTTGACAACCAGTATGCGAGAACAGGAATCACAAAATGAGAATATTTCGGACGATTTTGAATAATTTGTCAAGGGGAATTGAAATGTTAGAAAGAATGAATAAACTTTTGTATAATTCCATCAAGAGCCCGTATTTTTGACTTCAGAATGAAAATTAAATCCTTTTCAGGAAAATATTTGATCTGATTAAATATCTCAATAGGCAAATGGGTTCTTGGAAGATGCAAAACCCTTCTCTCAATTCTGAATACCATTTTTGTCGACAATAAGAGGAAGCCACTATAATATCTTTCCAGTTTTCTAGAAAATCAGTCCTGTGAATTTCAAATCCTGAATCGAACAAAATGTCTCACTAAAATTTTGTGATATGGTTGTAACTGCAGAAATATTCAGAGATGCACATTTTAAGCCTTAACTGGTTTCTTCTGTAGCATAACCATGTTCATCAAAACCTCTTTTAGTATCCAGGTTAATACACGAAAAACGTGTTTTTACTAAGGCTTTGTAAAACAAAAAAAGTGTCTTGGAAAGCTTTTCATTGAGATAAATAATCCCAAGTAAAAGAATCCCCGCATTATTTGTTGATCGACTTTTCGTGCGCTTTCCTTGAAAGCGATTAAGATGATCAATAATCGCCTATTTCGGGGGCTCTTGGCTGGACATAATCCCTAATCCAATCTTATTATATTGGTGGATATCGACAGGCGATGTCGTGATCCCCAAAGAACCCGGGATGCTGTTGAGTGCGAACAAGTACAACGTGTCCCGAGTGGCGGACATCTACTATTTTGGAGCCGCCTCGCAAGCAACGCAGTTCTTCGCAAAGAATGGATTCAGTGCTGTTCTCCTCTTTTGGATTATGCGGCAATTGACCGTTTCTTCATTCGGATTCAACTAGTTCTTCATATTTGAGGCAATTCGGAAGATAGCTAAGAGGCACCTAGCTCCCATGGTTCGCACTAACTGGTACTGTCTATACTGATGGCATGTGCTGCTGTCAATTAATTTAGTTTTGAATATAGTCCAGTTATTCTTATATTCATTTATTTCCTGCGTGAAGTTTTTTTTAATAAGCTACGTGGACTGAAATCATCTTTTGGAGCATGCCGAACCATTCAAGGCATTTTTGAAGAAATGGAATGGAAAACGGATGTGCTTTGATTGATGATGAGTACGTCAGTAAAAGTTTAGATTGATCAGTCAGCAACATGTGAATAGCATTTGGAAATCGAACGAATATCATGAAAACGGCTTAAGACGCCAAGCTTTTCAATATTCCAGAAATTTGGATTCACGCTAAACCATTTTTTTCTTCAATCATTTCGGAATATTATACGGTCCATGAAAATTCATACGTGTTATATGTGGCTGCCCAAAATTCAACGTGAAAATTCGTAAGAAACCCCGAGGAGAAGATTTCTTGATCCAATTTTTTTTTCGAATGCCCGAACCTCTTTCCTTCGGAATTCACCTTCGTTCTTTTTTTTTACAAAATTAATTTTCTTTGCATCGTAAAAAGCTGCGTGTTACTTCGTGAATATTTGATGTGCGATAGTGTGATGATCGTAAGGGTGCATTTGTGCATGCGCATTCAAGATTTTTAGGAGGATCGATGTTGAAATGTCGTGCAGATGTCGCCACTAGAAAAATATCACTGGATTTTGACGCGTTCCCTTTATTTTTTGGTATAAAAATAGCTGAATTAGGAATTTCGACTTTATTAATGTTTATTATCCGTAGACGAGTGCTGGTGTCGATATTTTTAATTCAGAGTAAAGAAATTAGGGCAAATATGCCAAAGAAAATGCTTATGAAGTGCATTTTTCAAGCGTACTTTGTTAGTCTTCAAATTTGGTTGTTAGAAGAAGTTTTCGGCGGCAATCTCATTATCCAGAATCTTCGTCTGAAGGATCATTCCAAGATATTCTCTGAGTACGATTTTTCAGAGTCGCCATATGAATTTGAAATCCTTTCCGAAAGAAGAATCGAGGCTCGAAAATGTTTGAAATTCGTTTGAATATTTCATCATATTCCGCTTTTGACAAATCGAAAACATGTAGACCTGAAGATTTTGAGGCTCCACGAATTTTTGGAATGCAATTTCTCTGCGCACACGTGTTACAATTTGTGAATATCCCTGTTCGTTGTCCGCTTATATATTCAAATGTCTGACTGTGAATAAAGTTGGAATTGTAAATAAAAAAACATTTAGGTTGGAATGCGTGAGAAGCCTTTTATTGTTGGTTAAAATCGAGTTTTCCGCCACTTTTGATTTTTGACACATTTTTCGACCCGAACGGAAATAGCCCTTCACAAGAAGAGAGGAAAACGAATTTTCACCAGTATTTCCGCAAAAGCGACGAATGATGTGACAGGTATTTTCGATCTAACCGCTTCCGACGACTTCCTTTTTCTGTTTGAATATCATTCTTTACGACATGATTTTTTAAGTTCTCATATATGGGTTTGATTCAGTAAATGTCAACTTGAGAGATTGAGAGATTTTTAGGTAGCCAGGTTAAAAAAATTTAATTCCTCATGCAATGTAATTTCAAATCTGTCATTGACTTCTTCGTCTCTAAGTGGTTTTAGGGAAGTCCTACGAATCACGAACATACTGTAATTGCAGGCAGAGGAAACCTGATGATCGATTTCTACATTTTTTCTTTGGATTTAAAAAGATATTGCCTCACATATGATAATGAAGTCTAGAATCTAGATACAGTACCATCTCATTATGAAATCAGGAAAAAAATTCCCGTGAGACACCTGCTTGCATTAATCATTTTTGTAATGTACAAAATTTATATTTCTCGCGCTCTTCGGGAAGAGCTGAACCAAGTTTTATTTCATAAACCTGCGATCCTTAGCTGTAATAGGGAAATACGTATTTTATCCACCTGAAATAAAATGTTAACAAAATATTGAGAATTTTTCAGTTTCTTTTGCTTGATTTATTTCAACGTTTTTCCGAATCTCCGAACTGATTGACACTAACAATTCGGCAAAGTTATAATTCTGGTACGCCTTAATATGAGCACATAAAATACCCAACCCAGCATAAAAGTGTGCACGATTAAAATATTAATTGTATCGCATCAAGAATCATCCAACCTTCGGAACCCTCGTGCAACGTGGATTCTTGACATAAAGAACACCTAAAAATATTCTGATTCCGATTAAAATTTTATTCGATTCTTGTGATGCCGTCTTTTCACGTCGAAGATGATTGACGCACGTAGGCGTATAATACTGTACTCTACCACCATAGGGTTCTGTCGTGAAATGGGGCACACCTCAAAAACTTCATTTAACGAAGGATTCGCAATATGAAAAAATAAGCTCTAATTTAATCTTGAAGGTAAGGCCAGCACTCCTGCAGCCATCTGGAGATTTAGCCAGGCGAAGTTCAGCAACTGGTGCAAAATTGGAAGAAGCAAGGGTGCAGAATGTGCGAATACCGCGAAAAGTGAATATGACCCACGCAAAAATGCACGTAGTTGGTGTACATGAGTGACCTCATGTGCGGTAGAAACGAAGGAAAAATTAATTTAAAGTGACACAAAAATGCATGAATAAAAAAAAATTATCAAGAAAATGACAATGACTTTAAGACTGGCACTTTCTTTATTGTACAGTTCCAAAAGGACATTTTCAGTGATTCGTGAATCAGCTGAGTTCTTCAGAAAAAAAGCATGATTAGCTCGAATTTTCGTCCCCCCCGAAAAGAAGTTTCAATCACTTGACCACCAAATTCAGTATTAAGAGACCATAAGAACCATGTCTTTTCTGCCATTTTTTTGCAATCCAACGCCAAATGCAAGCAATCATGACTCATCACAAAAATACATGCAAAATTTCGTTTGCAGCAATGAGTGGGATTCCCTCAGTCCTCCCGGAACTTCTTTTTCTTTCCAACGCTAAAATAATTCACAAGAGAGTTGGGGCCCAATTTTTTTTTTCGTTTCAGAAAAAAATAGCCTCAAATTCGTTTAACAGGCAGGAACTTCCGCCGACGTCGTCGCGTGTTTGTGCGAGTTATTGCCAAGCGGCTCGAAGGGCTTGTACAGGATTGTGGTGACGAACTTGTTGCGATACCTATGTGTGCTGGACAGACCCATGACGGCGTCGTGTATTGTCAGTGAATATAGGTGTCGCATGATGGTATGGTTCGTCGGCTCTGCCACGAATTCAGGATGCGCCGAACACGGCATCTGTTGATTTAGTACTGGATTCGCCAAACTCCCTGGAATCATGACCTGAGAGAAAATGGAGATACATTTAATGAAATAATTTTATACCGTTTTTCAAGTGCAATTAGACCTAAATAAAGAGAACAGAAGACAGAACTTCGAAGAACGTTTCAAGGATCTTGAAGGACGATTTTTCAAGCTTCACAAATCGGACTTCTGAGGAACCACTTACACAGAACTGTAGCAACTTATCTCATAAAGCGCCGTACACAAGGGTTGACCCAGCTAAACACGACCTCTGATATTTTTAGAGTATAAGTGTGATCGTGAAAGAAAGAAATATCCTGACATAGCCAATGATGTTCTAAATTTCTGCGATTCTATTCGGACTTTTAAAAACGTTTTTCAATTTATTGCTGCATGATTATATAAGAAGACTTTTCAGTTACAGGCTCAGAGTTATTCACCCATGTCACAGGGAGCTAAAACATTTTCAGGCCAGCTAAGGAAAAATGCTGGTTGTTTTTTCATTATCTTTTCTACATTTTAGAAAATCGATGAAAAAAACGCAATTTTCTTTTTTACGCAATTTTAGCTGGTCTGACACATTTTCAGCACCCTGTGACATGGGTGGAGAACTCTTGCCTGTAACTGTAAAGTTGTCATTCATCATCATGCAGTAAATTTAGGAAGTTTTTTAAAAAATACGAAGAAAACCCCAGAACCTAAGGAATGATGAGATTCAGGCTGTGTCATGATCACTTTTTTTTTCATTCAGACCTAATCTAAAAATATCAGAGGTCGCGTCCACCAGGGACAACCCTCTATAAAATCTTGATGAAAAATGTACCTCGTCCCATGAAAATGGATGAAGCCCATCAACCGAGGCACAACGTTCAATTTTGCATTCCACGAAGAAAAGCAGTCATTCATTCAAGAAGGATGAAACAAAACAAAAATGGGAACAAAAAAAAAATCCCTACCGGGTGTTTACTGGAGGAATGATGACTGTTATACGGTGGGATGATTTGGCCCCAGCTCGCATGCGGTTCAGTGGCGCTGGTGTCGCCGTCGGGACAATGCTTCTCGTCATCGTCCAGTGCCAAATCCGCGTCGAAATCCGACTCGCAGACAGTGATCTTGTCAACTTCTCCTTCGTCCGCCAAACACCCGTTTTGCAATCGCCAGCGGCCGTCCACCAGGAATTTGTACTCGTAGGACCCAACGCCCAGCTGCACGGACACTGCAAATTCCTCGCCGCATTTCCTCATGGGGATCTTCTCCCAATTGTTGAATGAGCCCACCAGTGTAGCCTTGCGATATTGCTCCTTTTCGTTCTGCGAGATTTGAAAATTTTAAAAATTTGAATCGAAATTGAGTCACAGAAATACATCCGAATGAATACCGTACTACAGAATAGCGAAAAATAATACAATAAAAGTAAGACATGCAAATGTTTCTGAAAATCATCAAGAAATGGCTTTCACGAAGTCAGTGCACATAATCAAAACCAAAAACTGATGTGTACACCGTATTGTACTTATATAATAGGCCTACAAAAGCCGTATTAAGAGAATTTCATGATGAGCTCGTTCCAATAAAAAAGATTGCACTTTGTTTAAATAAAATCTCATGATTATGAAGATTGTGGCAACAGAATTTTATTTTTTCAGCAAATGATTTATTTCTAAGTTCTCCATCAAAAATACGGAACATTCATAGTACCCACTCCCACGCGCAAAAAAATATTTGATATGTTTTCAGCGACGGGAGTTTTTTTGCTGGGTCCACATCGTCCCACCTTCCTTAAACACAGATAAGTTTGCATGTTCAGAACTAGCCAAAATAGTCCTATTGTTGTGGATGTAATAGCTCGATCGTAAATATGAAGATTTATCTTTCCAATCGTATCCCGGAGATTATTGTAAACTTCCGAATTCGTTCGGTAGCAAATTAAATTATACATTTTCCACGTTTTTTAGCAAAAGAACTTTAAAGACAAGTACCACTGGAATGAAGTCGCGAATCTTTGATAGACACTGGAATTGTATCGAAGAATCGATATCGCCATCAATCAATTTTGTCACACGTGGAGACGCAATTTTGTCATGAGAAATTGAAGCGTCACTATAACAAGGTACAAGGTTAGTGAATATACAAACAAACTGGCTGCAACGACATTTTCCAGAAAATTTTGAGCTTACGCAAGACACGACATTTGTGCACAGTTTATGAATAAATAATTATGTCGTGCTCGAAAAACATAATTGACAAGATAAGCCATTGGAAATTGATTACCTGGGTCCGTTTATTGAAGGAGTTGACCGATTATTTGTCAACCATTTCGGATCGTTTGATGAATATCTTTACGTTTATGAATGCTGCATTGGGAAGTTTATCTTTCTCGCGTTGTCGCAATTCAATTCATTCAATATCTTTGAAGTGGAATCTTTGGTTCCTCTACAGTCTACATGAATAAATATGCGAAGGACGTGTTCATTATTTAGTTGTTTAAGACAACATTCAATTAACATTTTTATTGATACACAGGTGCTTGTTTAAAAAATTCCCAAATTCTTTTGAAGAAAACCTCAGGAGCGATTTGATCTTCAGACTCGAATGCTTCGTAATTTCTTATTGTCATCAAGTTCTAAACTTAGCAAAAAATAAGGATAAAATTCTTGCCCGGAGGATTCTGATCGTTTCAAGAAATACTACTGCATATTACCTGAAGAGCCTTTATAAATTCTGGCTAAATAAAGAAATTTTTCAAGTTCAGCAAGATGAAACGATGGAAGGCATTGGTTTCGAAGAAAACAACGCTTCTATATGCCGAGCTTTCGTGAACGTGTATTGAAATTAAATTCACCCCAGGGTGTATATTGATATTGAATCAGAGAATTTGAATCTTCGAGATCGACTTACATTCACAATGCTTTAAAAGCTTTTTTCTTTTCATGCAGCATTGTTTATGGGCTAAAATGAATCAAGTTCGTCAGTTTTTCTTCAATAAAGGCTTCATTCTTCCTTGAAGCTTCAGAAACATGACTCAACTTCACTCGTTCGATTCTGATTTATTATATGAATATTTATGAGCTCAATCTTCAAATAAAGTATTTGATAATTTTCTTTCTATTTATAACCCACGCCGAAATCAAGTCCGAACAGTCCGAAAAATTAATCTGAATTCTAAATGGTCCGCATTTTTAAAAATCATGGATAAATTATTTCATCATAGATTTTTTTTGTAAATAGATATTTTCTACAAAAAGTTATTTTTTCATAAATCAAACACGAATAACTTCAGCATCTAGGGAACAAAGTTTTGCGAGTGTCGTCCACTTTTGACCAAGGTTGCCCAACCGTTCCCAGCATCTATGCGAAAACTGATGTATAGGGTGCATAAAAAAAGTTTTTATTCTTCCGGAGTGTTCAATTCTTCAGAAATGACTTGGGACTCTTTTTAAAGGATTGAAAAGAGAAGAAGAATGATTTCATGAGCAGCCAAAATGCTCTTAGGTACGTGTTCTATTTCTTCCGCACGTCTTGCTGCGAAAAATACTGTCTGAAATGGCTTTTATTTAAATACAGTATACAGCAATAAACACTGTCATAATACATCATAGTAATACAGTACAAGTAATTCAAATTTCAGGGGACCAGCAAAAAATCTACTTGGGGGTTTTGATTTATAATTAATTTGAGAATTGAACCAAGCATTTTTTGTGGGAAACAGAAGAATTACACCAAAATTGTAAATGGTGATATTATGGGCCTTAAATTGCGTCTAAAACGAGTTGACAGGATGCTAAACTTGGAGGCAGGGGTTCATTTCCCCAATTTATACTGTAACATCCTTTCAAAACACATCAAATTCCATTTTATTGCTCTTTTCTTCCTTTGTTAAGAGAATAATAACACAAAGGCCTCAGAAAATTTGATTCGTGGGGTTTTTAGAGCAAAAGCCTTTGAGTTAGTGATGATGCTTTTAATCCATTGCTCCTGCAGGAATTCAGACAGGGACATGAACAAATTCAACTTGAGGAGGTATTAAATTTAAAGAGGTTTGACCTCTTGGAACCAACTGTGCATAGCAACATACAATAGTAGCAACAGGACTGCCTTCTGAACTTTTTATAACATCAAACCTCAGATGGATCTCTCATTTCTCTCTGAGAAAGTGAGCTGAAATTCTATTTTCCCTTCGTCTGGGGAGCTTTTTTTTTCATAAATCACTACACCCTTTCCAGATAAAAATTGAAGACCACATATGAACACCCCCTCCCCAACGCTCAATAAAAAAAAAATCAATAAAAAAAGAAGTTCTTGCATCCTGGCGATTTTTTTCCCCATGGCCTCTGAAAGAGTTTTCTAGCAATTCAATTTTCACATGCTTAAAATATCTCTTGAAAAAAAAACTCGCTTGGCATTGTCCTCACCTTGAAGAGAAACAAGTTGGTCACAGTCGCCGCCGCGGGGCATTCCTGACCGCCGCCCAACATCGCCCCCTCGGAGGCGGAAGTATGCGTGTACCAAAAAGGGCGCTTCTTGTGTTTGGGCCTGTTGCCTTTGCAATGGTCCTTCTGATGGTCCCCGTGTCGGGTCGCAGCGTCAATTTCCTCTCGGCTCCGGGCCTGCATGGTCAGCGGGTGTTCGGAGGAGTTGTGTCTCGCACTGCTTGCGTTCCCCATGCTGTCCACCCACGAACAATGGTCCGAACCCGGAAGGTGAAGATCACTCCGGAAGAAATAGACAAGCACACACACACACAGAGAGAAGAAAAGCCGGAGCAAAAGTCTACCAGGAAGCTAAAAGAGTCTTCTGAATAAGGTAGAACAATTGATATCCTGCAAGGGGGAAAATATATATATAAAGGAAAGGAAAATGAAGGAGAGTGTATGAATGTACCCATTAAGCACGTTGATGCCTGTCTCGGGCATCATTAAAAAAAATGAACAGGTTTCCTTCCGAACCAGATTGCTTTCGAGTGACGACTGAGCGGGTCCCGTTTGAGCCAGGAATAAAACCCAACTGGAGGAGGATAATAAGCATGATAACCCAAGTGACCTCTAGGTAATTTAAAACCTGCTGTTCCTTATTTGATGAAAAATTAAAGTTGACTTTTTCTCTTATTAATATATAACGCTTCAGAAAAATTTGAAATAAATGATTTTAATTCTTCATTGCGAGAAAGCTTTCTTCAAGCCCACCTTACTAATTCTTCGAGGATATTCCACTAAATCTGTTTCATGGGTTCTTAACTTTAAAGTATAAACTTTTAAATACTGTATGTGCCATAAAGTCTTTCAAACAAAACTTTTTTTGAATCTGCAAGAATTTTATGAAACTTTGAGAGTCCATACAAATTTTTTGTTGGAAATTTGCCCATCTCCGGGCCCAAAAGCGTCGGGAACACTGGTCCATTGAACATCACGTTTCCAACCCTTTTTCTTCCATTTACTCAATTTTTTTTTAACTTGGCAATTTTTACTTGTCATGTCGAAGGTGGTGACTATCTGGCAAGAACCCCTTACGGATTTCAGACTCATTTTAAGTTTTGTTTCATGTATATTTCACTTTTTTTTAGAAAAGCGAACTCAACATTTGAACTAATTCAAAGCCATCTTGAATCAAGAAGAATCGAATTATCGTGAAGACGAATTTATTTTTTTCATGATACAGTATATTTGAAAGGCTTCGTCTTTCGTGAGTGAAAATAATTCAATACATCTTCCAGTTCTAATTCCAATTGAGTATATTTCTAAAAAAAAGATCCTTAAATCAGAATGACTTTCAGATCACATGCCCCACTTGAAATTGGATTTGAAGCAAAACTTTCTTTCAAAACAAAGCATCAGTGTTAAGAAGCTTCAGAATGCTTTCCTTGGCGTCAATTCGAAAAATTCAAGGCGATGACAAGCGTGATCTCTCTCAGAAGTCAGAACTGAAGGTTGGTTCATAAGTTTTGTCGGACTTCTATTCTGAAAACTTGTATAGTTAATGCGGATGGAAATAATCTTGACAAACTATAATAATCGATAATTACATGAACAATTTTCAGTTTTTACCTCCTCCGATTACCCAAAATTGGAAGAATAAATCCGAGTAGCAAAACTAGCAACGATGTGCACTCTCAACTTTCTTCTGTCAAAACTGTTTGTTGGGAGTCTCCAACATCCATTCATACCCACATTGGAATCATGTAGTCCAACACTCTGACAGAAATCAAAATGTTTTCATGAAACTGCACTAGAATTACTCCCAGAGCTTAGTTATAATTTGCCTCAAATTTTTTTTTTTGTGCCCCTGAATAATTTTTCAATCATTAAACTCAGTGTTTTGATTCCATAAATCCCACGGACTTTATTCAATGATGGAACTCCACCAAAAGTTGTCCTAGAACTCTGTCAATTTGCTCTTAACCCAATTTTCGATCAAAACTCAGCAATTTAAATATGCTTTGGCTCCATAACTTCGAGGACTTTACTTTATGTTACTGGAAAAAACTGTTGAACGATCCCTCGCACTTGCAATGACTGGAATACATTATTCTCCTGACGTAAGCTTGTTTATTTTTTCTATGTAAGCCCCTCACAACGAGTCCAGCATAAACACACTAAGCTCAGCACATGATAAACGTTTGTGACGTAGAACATAGAGTCATGGAACACAGAATCCATCCTAGTACTGATCAAACCCGGCAGTGATGCACTGTAGTAAACAACCGCGAATTAACGCGCAATAGCAAAAACGTACATCGTTCAAGACGAATATTGTATATTATTTTTCTCCCGATATTATATTTTTTAAGTATCGGTAGGACGTGTATAAATTGCATGATCGCGAAGCATATAAAAAACAATGAGCCGTTCGTGAATATTTAAAAAAAATCATGCAATAACTTGAAAACTGCAATACTGCTGTGTGTCATTGACGCGTGGCCCTCGTTTTATTTTGAAAAATCTCGTTTTTGAATAACTTAAGCTACAAAAATTGATCACGGATGACGAAAAACTCGAAAAATTTGAGAATATATGGAGTGCTCTAGAAATTGCTCAACATTCGGCTGATTTTAGTGAGTTGCAACCAGCGAAGTGTGGAAGTTGCATGCAAAAAATAATAATTATGCGAGACCTTTCAAAAAATGTCAAACGGTCATAGTTAACATCTTCAAACGGAAATACATCACGCTGAAACAAAATATAGAATAGTTTGTTCATGGTTCCCCTCTTTATTTCAAGCGATTTGTTTGTTTGAATAAGCATAAGATCTGAATTCTGCAAATTGTTCCATTTGTTCGAAAGAATTAGTGGATTTAAGGTGTTCCTACGTATGGAACAAATACAAGTTTTAAAAAGCCAAATTTCAGTTTTAAAAATTTAAGCAATGTAATTTCAGTTATGCCCTTATGTCAGTACGCACAAGTTGAATACAGTAAATGTCAAACGGAAAAATAAGTTTCTGAAACGCTATTTTACCTAAAAATTGTTATTTAGAATTTCGCGTTTCTCTTCTGCATTTTTCGAAGAGGAAAAATAAACCCCGGAAATTCTGTTCGGCTGTAGTAAATGTCAAACGGAAAAATAAGTTTCTGAAACGCTATTTTACCTAAAAATTGTTATTTAGAATTTCGCGTTTCTCTTCTGCATTTTTCGAAGCAGAAATAAACCCCGGAAATTCTGTTCGGCTGAGTCGCAGGATCAACAACACATTCCTAATATTTCATTTCCGGAAAATAAAATCCTCCCATATGCATAATAAGTATCGCATTCCACGTGACAAAGTATATCTCACTATTTTAAAATGATAAGAGCACCCGTGGCACGGGAGATATTTTTCTCAGCTTGCTTACGTGACCTAGTTTCAACTTTCAAGGGAGGTCAGGAACACCTGGACCGGAAAAGAAGCGTTAGTAATACAGTATAGGAGCTTGAAAATTTACGGTATCCCTGATAATTTCCGCGTAGAGGTCAGGTTTTTACGATGCGAACGGGATGGGCTCGGCCACACGCTCACTGCTTACAAATGAGTGAAACGACATCGTGATGATCACGACGAAAAGACAGTGAAGCAGGAAAACCGACTGAGAATAAAGTGCCACTCGACGGACAAAAAAAGAACCCAAGATTAAAGTTTTTTGAGGAATTTAATAATGCCCGGGCCGAAATAGATAACTTCGTGGGTTTCTCGCAAACGCACGATCTCGCATAAAAATTGATCTGCGTCTCAGAATTAATATACGGTAAATTAAAACTCATGCACGATGGGCAGGTAAAACTTATTTTTAGTCCCTTATATTCATTTTGGACTTCCGGATTGATCTAGTGGTGTCTGGAATTTCTACGGGATATATTTTTGATAATTTCCTGATTGGTGTTCCAATTTTTCCGCGAGCGAACGAAAATTTAGAAAAGCAGAGTTGAAAGCGTATTACTGTAAATGCTCAATAAAAAAAAAAGGGCAGGTCGTCCACATTCGCTCACATTTTCAACTGTGTGGATTAGAAAACTCCATCTTCAATGTCTCAAATTTGGCAAACGTTTTCTAATAATAAAAGAATTCAGATCTCATGAATGTTCACGAAAATGTCCTCAATTGTGTCTCCGCGATTGAATACATTTCTTCGCAATTACTGAATAACACACACGTGCTGCGGGGAATTTCAAGGTCAAGGCAACATTTTTGAACCATCCCTTTAGAATTATGTCCAGATAT